TGCGAAAAGCCTGTGATATTTTTTTTTTTTTTCTGATATTCACTGTAGGAACCTGATAGAGCTCCAGGAAATAACAAAAACACAAAAACCAAAAAAGTGTGGGGGCCTTCTGGAGTTTCTAACTCTCAGACTTATCTGCACTGAACTTCCAGCAATTCATCAACTACAGGTCAAGTTTTCCTACCCAGGTACTGGTTTCCATAGAGATTTCTGCTTGTGGGTTTCTGCTCCAGTAAGTGGTTCTCTGAATAGCCTGTTTTTCCAATATTTTGGATTGTAGTTTGTCCTATCATATTACTTCTCTGGCAGTTCTGAGAGTATTGATTTCATTTGTTCAGAATTTTACTTGTTGTTAGAATGGAGTGACAACTTCCAAGGTCTTTACGTGGTAGGTCAGAAACTGGAAGTCCTAAGCCTAATATCTTATGGGTGGGTGTGTTCTCCCCAAGCCCACCCCAGTTCACCCAACTCACACTCTCCTGCCCTTTTTTGTCCCCTTGTGAGGTTTCTAGTTCCAAACACAAGGACTGTGTTTAATCTACTTTGTCTAATCAAAATATTATGATAAACAACCATAAAAACAAAGAAAAATCCATCCAGGAATTGAGTTATTCGAGAAAAAGAAAGGAGATAATTTTTTTTTTACAGTATCTAGAAATGAATATTTTTTGGTATTTCTTCATTGGTTTATTTAAAAGGATTCTTTTAATTAATAAAAAAAAGTATGCTTCTATTTATAGCCTCAGAACTTCTATCTCGTGTAGCCAGGGTATATAACCAGGATTTACTGAAGGACTAAAGTAGACATATTTTATAAATAGCATTTCTGCCCTTCAAGGAAGGGATATTCTACATGACGTAACCTTGCTAAAATACCTCTTAAGAATAACTCTGATGCAAGATGGCAAAGCTCTTTTTCCAGCCAGCATGCCATGAATGAGAAAGACAAGGCACAGTCTCCACTCTCTAAGTGAACCACTAAATCAACCAAAGTAGAAGGGACGGAAATCGAAAGAGGGTCCTTGCCTGAGATATCTCAGTGGCAGTATCCTGCACAAAGCAGTAAGAAATGTCTCTTTAAAATGTTAGCTCGTTAGGAATTTTGGGTATTAAGAGTCTTTATTGTTCATTTTCTTTTAGCTCACATGAATGGCTTATCCCATAAATTAACAAATATTTTATTCCTTTATTCATGATACATAAATATAAAATGAACACTGTACATGTGGATGTTTAGGAACATTATAACATTAGACACAAAATCTGTCTAGCGATCTCAGCATCTTAGAAAAAAAAGTTGATGAAAATTCAAGCAGCAGAAGGGGGCAGTAAAACTCAACAGAATGATCTGGAATATTTTTTATATTCTTCCTTATTTTCTCTCCATACAGAGAATTTCCCAACAAATTTCAGAGACAAATAAAATAAATTTTGTACAACTGATACATATATTTTCCTAAAATAAACACAAAAACACTAAATATATACAAAACTGAGAGGTATAATTTTTACATAATAAAACTTTATTTTTTATGGAGCACAATAATCATACCACATTTCTATATGTGAAACTGGTTTAGACATCTTGATTTGGTTTGGGACATTCAATATCTCCCCATGACCAGCCTCCCAAAAGGTACCTATCCATTTTATTTCATTGTCTTAGACTTGTCAAAATTATTTATTAAATTATTTAGTAGTTTTTTTCTTACGCCCATACTTGGACTTCCTTTCAAAACTCTGTCCATCATTAAATTCCCAGT